GGGAAGGGGAAATAGACACAAGTGTTTCAAGATTTTTGACGAGTATTGTATTTAGTCTGAAGAGAGGAAAGAGTAACAGTTTCTGTTCAAGGCGAATTTTTGGATGATCGATGGAATCTACCTGCTTGGTTTGCGCACAGAAGAGAAAGAGAAGTGTTGGATGTCGGAATATTTTTCAGTTATATTTAAAAAAAAAAGCAAAAGATGGAAATAAGGGAATTAAAAGCAATGTGTCACACATACAGGCAGTAATTAAGACATGCGGGAAAATGTGAGGTCGCTGATTACACTTCACTTTCTGAAGGCATATATTCCAACTTTTCAAAAGGGGAAACAATATTACCCAAGCTAATTAGATTTTCTCAGCGCGATAAATAAGGGCATGTCTGTTGTTAAATGTCTTTCCTGTTGAAGAAACGCGGAATCGTGTAGTGCAATGGCAAACTGTGACGCGACAAGTAGTGAAGTGTTAGACTTAAGCACCCTGACAGAAAGCGGTGTAGCAGGTGATGATGCTACTGAGCAATCGGAGGCGCTGGGGTCACATCAAGTTCGGAGTAATCGAGAAAGTTTTCTTCAGCTGGTGTTGGATAGTTTCGACAATGCAGAGCCATTAACGCGTTGTGAGATAGTACAGTGGGTGTGTAGCCAAGAACGGCATGGGGATGGGGGCATTCATTATCACATGGCAGTGAAATTAAATGCACGGCGACGCTGGCTGAAAATACGCAATTATCTTGATGAGCGACACGGAGTGAAAGTGAATTTTAGTGCTCGCCATAGCAATTATTATTCAGCGTGGCAGTACACCACAAAGGAAGACGAGAGTTACTTACAGTCTGATAACCATCCCGATTTGACTAATACTCCTGCACCCAATACTTCAAGGGCTACGGAAATGCACACTGGACTTGCCAATGGAGGAAGGAAGCATAAAAAGTCCTCCCAAAGTTTATCGGTTTATGATGTATCGCAGATATCGGTAAACAATGGCATAAAAACTCGGTTAGAGCTGCTGGTGTTAGCACAAAAGCCAAAAAGTGAGGGGAAACTTGACTGGCGCAGTTCATCGTGAATCGTGGAAGTCGGGTAGTGGATGAAGCGATAGCTGTGGGCTGGGAATTAGAAAACGCGGAGAGCACGCTGCAAAGGAGTAAAATGACTAGAATTGAGATTTTGTACAGTAAATTGGAAGGAGAGTGTGAGCCAGGATGTGACGGCCAGTGGTTGCAAATGGCAAAAGAAGTGTTAGAGCGGAACTCTATTGTAAGGATGAACTTAGCTATGTACAAGGCGGTGTTGTTGATGACAGAGAGACTCAGATGGTGAAGGTAAGGTGGCGGGTTTTCAATCTCTTCCATCAAATACCCGAGGAACAGCAGAAGTCAGTCCCCCCGTGTGGAAAATGTTTTAGTCGACTTATTTTCCCACAAGACGACTACTGATCTTATGTAAATATTACCGAGTTTGTTGACATTTTGTAATCTTTGCTGTGGTTTAAGAGCGGATGTCTGTAAATATCGACCAGAGGTGGGAAAAATAAAATTTTGGAAAAATCTCAAAAAAATTATGTAGACTACCCTAGGTATTCTAGTTATGAAAATATAAATTTTAGTTTCATTGGATAAATATTTTGGCGATACGGCGAATGCCAATTTCGGGCGATTGACGGCCTCCTCCTGACCGCTTTTTCGGGCCTCTAGACCGGGCTACAAAAAGACCACGATTTCAATCGAATTCAAGTATCATGCAACCTAAAAAGCTTCTTATCGTATTAAACTGGTTTTAACACACATTTTGAGTGGTCATGTTCTCGAATTGATTGCAACTGGAATATTTTATGAATTTTTAAATATTTACAAAATTTTAAAGATTTTACGTGCGCAAAATATTGTCAAATTTCAAAGGCCTAAAATCACATCCGATACATGATTTTAAACAGAAAAAGACATTCCACATTAAAAAGCAATCTCTAAGCTTTCAAAATATGCTTTCAAAACTCTGGGCAACATATGAAATGAATTTTTGGGAACGCAAAGTTTACGGAGCATTTAAGTGTAATTTGACCTTTCTGACTTGACAGATAAGAGGTTCGG